TGATCGCTTCCTTGACCGGTACGCTGGGAAAAAGAGCTGTGATGTCGAAAGATACCATAATCTCGTCCTCGTTGATGTCTCCTGAAGATTGTAGTTGCTGGGCGAACTCCTGAGTGTTACTAACTGCTTTACTCTGGAACTGATTCGGCATACTCTGGAACTCTTTGACTAGCCACTTCGCTAGTTTGTGGGTGGGGGAACCAACTGCAGACACGATCTCTCGCATTTCATTTCCCGGTTTGTGGACTTTGGGGAGACCTTTGATCCTGGGTAGAATGGGATTGGGTTCCCGTAAACGACCTGCTCCATCTCCTAATATCGATTTGCACTCCTTCAGTGCTTTCTCCACGCGTTTCACTATGTTCTGTAAGGGGTCTACTCGAAGCTGTCTGTACGGTTCGTTGTTAATCTTCGTTGACATCTGATTATCGTAATCGTCCTTGTCCATGATAACGACCGCGTTTCCCTTGTCTGCCTTCACGTAGTATACTGCTTTACTTTTTAGCTCCTTTACAATCCGAATTTGTTTTTCGTCCTTGATTATGCTAAAAGTGTGTCGCTCAAGTGCAGCGCCATTGTATCTGTCGCTTGGATTCTGGCAAAATCGCCAGTCTTCTTGATATGATGCCTTCGGTAAAAGAAAAGCTGCCGAAGTGATTCGGAGGAATCAATCTCGCTGGTAATGATCTTAGCAGCAAACACAGCTTGAGCATTCCGTCTTCTTTGTTCCAAGGTGTCAATTCCAAGCAGACGACAGCGAACAAACTTTCTCTGTACACACTTTAAAATCTGGCTATCCAGCATGCTTGGCTTGGTATGGGCACCAGACGGCAGCACTATACTCTAAGATTGAACGTACTAACGAACAATACAGCGCCCACAGGCAAAGCGGATCGCGAAAGTTTTCAGATATTTTGAACATAAAGCCAAGCTGCCTGTTAGCTTTAGACAGGATGTGATTGTAGTTGCGGTTTGAAGGTCAATTCACAGTCGAGTGTTACTCCGAAATCTTTGACCTGGCTAATCCTCTCTAATAAAATATAATCGGGTTTTGTTTGCGGTGAAATGATATCACATTGCACTTGTTGATGCTGAGCGTCAAGAAATTACGGAAGCACCCACTCTGCATACGATCCACAATCAGCTGCAACTCCTCACAATCAGCGATGCAATTGATAACCGCATACAGGTGGCAGTAGACACGAAAGCTCGTTGACGAAAAGCGAAAACAGAAGGGGTCCCAGATTACTTCCTTGGGGAACGCCGGCAACGTTCGTGAACACTTCAGAACGAGAAGCTCCAATCTTAACGCAAAGCGAACGGTTCGTAAGGAAAGATATGAACCACGAGATGAAGGATCCAGACACTCCGAGTTTCTCAAGCTTGCTCAGGTCTACTCGGTCAAATGCAGCCTTGGGATCAGTGTAAACCGCGTCAATTTGTCCGTTAGAGTCCATTGTCCGAACGCAGAGCGGCACGAATTCGGTCAAATTGGTTGTAGCTGACCGTTTTGGGTAGAATCCATGCTGAGCCGTGGAGATGTAATTTTTACAAGAGCTGAAGAGCGCTTCATTGATGATGATTTCGAATACTTTGGAGGAGCAACATAGTGATGAGATTCCTCTGTAATTCTGGACATTCCTTTCATTGCCATTCTTGTGGACGGGAAACATATATGAAAATTTCCACGCCTCAGGAAATTTTCTCTCCTGTAGTGACAGATTAAATAACTTCACCAAGGGAGTGAGCAACGACTCCGAACACAGCTTCAGAACGGACGCAGGAATGCCATCTTATTATAACACCCTTGTAACATGTTATAACACTGTAGTCTGAACAAGACATTACCAGTTACAATACATCATTATGAGTAGCATTGATTGATACATATTATATTTGTTTGCTATGTACACGTTAACGTGATGAGCGGTGGTAGAAAGGGGACGCATTAGTGATTCATTACCACGTGTAAAAACTTTTTCCAACAAGAGATAAATCACACTTAACAAACAAAATAAATCCCTAAAAAAAATACTGCGTTTCTGTGAATATATCCTACGGATCCTACGAGTCCATTCTATAGATCTACCGGCATCACTGACTTGCATTTGTTTTGTTGTTGTTCAACATAGCTGACGTGTTGACAGCACGAGGGAAAAGCAACTGGTGAAAACATTGCATGAACGAGGGATGCTCCGGTCGCACATCAATGCTTGGGAATGTGGATCATAGGGGGTGCTAGTGTGCATGCAAAATACACTTGACGATATTTTTTGAAGAATTTTCTCTTAAGAGCTGTGTCTGTTTGTCTGTGAGAGGGATGCTAAAAGGAAGATTGCAATTAAATCTGAGAATAACTTCAAACGAGTTTGCCAAACAAATTATGTGGAGAAATCTAAGGAATTTGGGAGGAGAAATGCAAATTAATTCTTACGATGTGAGTAGAATTTCAAGGGAAAGAGTGAGATTCAAAAGGAAATCTGAAATTAAGTCAATGAAAATTCTGAGAATCTTTCCAGTTCCAACGAAATTTTGAGGCGGAATTGCGAGAAATAAGTATATTCTGGTGATATTTTTTAAGAGAACTAAGAGAAGCGTTCCAAGTGCATTTCTAGAATAATTCCATGGGAGTTTCGGGAGGACACCTCCAAGCGAATGTTTATAAGAAATCTCCGATTGAATGGACTATTCTAAGGTCTTCAGAACTACTTGAAAGTTCCCTGAGTTTTCATGAAGTTAATGAAACTACATTGAAGTTCTTTTGCAGTTTGAGAAACTAAGTAGCCTGATGTTCACAATATTTCTCATCGAATGTTTAAACTTCCCTGGACATTTCCAGGCTTCCTAAAGTTTCCTAAAACTGCTCTGAGGTTATCTGTTCTTTCCGGAAGTGCGCGAAACTTCTCTGAAGCTTGTTCTACTGCCCTGCATTTAATAGAACTGTCCTAAAAATTTTTAAGCTTCCGTGAACTTCTGCACTTATGTGAAGACCTCAAGAATTATGTTAACATCTCTGAAAATATGAAAGCTTCTTAAAATTTCCCTAACCTAAACTTCAAGACATTGAATATGTTAATTTTCAATTTCGCATTTTAAAAAATAGCTTTCTTATTGGCGAATCAAAGTTAGCCTCCGTGTAGAATAGAAGAACAGTTCACAGTTACTGTGAAAGTGATAATGATGGAGTAGAGTAAAGAGTTCAACAAGGATCCAGCTGCAGGTCAATATGCTTAACGTAACAGCAAACGTTATGTGCACCATCTTGAAACCCATTAAAAAGAATCAGAATTCAAAGCTTTTCATGGCAAGGTATGGACACAGAGAACAGACATCCAAGCTTAAACAAATTTTTCGAAAAATGATGTGTAAGAATTCAAATTAAAATACGATAGAAACACTAGCGCCGCCATACGGAATGTTGCGACTCGAGTTATCACTTTGTGTGATTAATGAGTAAACTGAACTAAAATTTGGGTTGACCTTATTGACCGTGTATTCAAATGAACTTTCAAATCAGTTCAAAACAACACGGCGAATGAGAACGACTCAAATTTGAGTTTAGCTCACTCATAATCGCCAAAAGTGCAGGAACTCAGCGATGAGTTAATTTGCCTCATGTTTTCCCAGGATTATCCAGGGAAAAATTCCTGAATTTGAGAAAAGTAAAGATTGGATTCACTCAGTCTATTGGTACTACTCCGAGACTGAATAAAATTTTCTTCAATTTCCTCATTTTCCGGCAGATTTTTTAGGTTTTCCTCAGGAAACCATGAGACAAATTTTACTCATCGCTGAGTTCCTGCACTTTTGGCGATTATGAGTGAACTAAACTCAAATTTGAGTCGTTCTCATTCACCGTGAAACAAGACGAAACAACGGAAATCAATCGAGTTGTGTTGTCAATGCGGTCATATTTAAACACTGCTTACAATGCATCCGTTCTTCCAGGAATTCGAAAAGCCTTCGGGGGGAAGTGGTCGGAACATAACTTTTTCGTTGCAAGCGCTTGGACTCCACGTGAGAAAAAATCACGCGTAGGTCGGGCAATTCAGCATCCTTAGGAAAATTGTGAAAAGGTTTTCGCTTGGTAATACCTTTTTAAAAATATTGGATGAGTGTTGTTAAGATAGGTAGACTTAAACTTTTAATCACCCATAAATAGCAACAATTAAATTCATTAAATAAACTGAATTTGAAAAAAAGAAGAAAACTTATCCCCATTTGCTTCATTATGATTGTTTTAAAGGTGGCCGCGAGAGAAGTATTTTAGACCTATGACCAAGTATTTTAGACATTTGATGGATATAAAAAGAGATATAAAAAGAGATGCCTACATCACTGCATTTCCTCAATCGGAAGGGGGACGTATTCTATGAAGGGAACAAGAATGTGTGTTTTGTGTGCAAGATTGAAGGACACCGAATGAATTTCTGTCCCAAGCGGAAAGCCCAGAAGCAGCCAGAGAAACAACAACTGTACGAAGAACGGAAGGGAAGATGAAGAAAAGCGCGACCAGAACGTAGATCAAAGTGACAGCAGTTTGGAAGCTACTTCGTACGCAGGAGTGGTTGTCGGAGATTACCGTAAAGACCCAACAACAGCATATCATAGAAGTGACGAAAACAGAAAAAGGAAAACATTACGGGCACGGGAACTCATTTATGACCCTCTTTTTTATTGAATTGAAAAAAAAAATATTGATCGGCTCCGTAAAACTAACGCAGTTGAGCCTTCCAAATAAATGAATCGATAAAAAAAATCTAAAAATTGAAGTGTCGAGTTAAGTCGTTTGTTCATAATTTCTGTCATACAGGCAAAAATAATTTATTGAAATTATTGACTTTATATGGCTATTTTTGCCCACATAAGCTGTTCTGCAGCTAGAACTTTTTGATGCTTGGGTCATCCTCATATCACTGGTGGACTACTCAAAAACACCGATACATAAGTGAATGACAGAAAGGATTATCAAGACAAGACGTGTATAGCTGATTACTCACCTTTACTCGTCTCCGGCACGACATGAATAACCAATCCGCTGCTCTGAGGTGTTTCTTCTTCATCGATGGTGGGCGAGCGCTTGTTTGTATCGCTAAAAGGATTCGTATCCTGATTCGTTAGAGTATCGTAGGTTCTCGTATCGTTTCTGGCCATCTTGCCCAAAATGGGTGGATGCCTTCTAGAGCGCAATAAAAGGACCAAACAACCAGAGGGATTACACTACCGGACACCAACTGAAAAGGGTTAAAACATTACTTGACGAAATGAAATACGATACATTCTTCATAAAATGGAATATGTAGCAGCAGCAAATGCTGGTTCGTAATCACACTCATACCACAGCATGAAACGAGACATTTTTTGTATGATTCTTTTTTACTTTGCTGCTCCTCTCTCAATGCCAAACACACATCGATCAGGCTTACCTTATACGGTGGAAATATGGGAACTGCCTCACGCGGAAGTCGGTGTCACATCTTTCATCTGCGTTATCCTATGTTAGCGTCTAACTTCCGGCTAGAACATCCCACGAGTTTGTTTATGCCTTTAATTTGTGCTCCCAGATCTAGTTTTGTCTGCAAAGTTCAAGGTAAGGTGTATGATTAAATAATGAAAAAGTGGTCTCACTACACACATACGCCTCCGAACCAGTATAAACTACTCCACCAGCTGATTTCCATTTGAATACAAACAAAACCCACGAATCGAAACAGCCACTTCGCGAAATGACGGAAAAATGTCCTACCATTTTCATCGCGATAGCAAAATGAAATCGAAGAAGCTACCTTGTACTGGTAGCCCCAAACTAATGTAAACATTGAGCAAATAAATAATACGACCTGCTTGCCAGGTAGGATTAGACAGACGCAAAAGCAAAGTAGATTTGCGATTAACGAAGCGCAAAAAAGCGGAAGACCTCCACTTCGCCATCGATTGTTGCGAGCCGAGCTCGGGCAAACAACACAGACAACAAGCACCGATCATCAGGAAACAAAGAAAGCAAAATTTAAACGCAATTTATTTCACGCGACGCAATCCGTTCGGTATCAACAATTTAGCACGTGTATAATCAACTGGAAAAAGGAAGCGTTTCTGACGTGGGATTAAACCTACCTGAATTGGTATTTGTTGTGCACTGAAGGATGAAAATCCAGCAGCAATTTGCTTCTTATAGAAAAACAACGATTGTGACTGGCGAAAATTTTCTTCGCTGATGCTCTCGCGATCTTCTCACTGCAGCTACCTTCCTGCTGACCGTCGCTTTTGCTTTTGTCTGACTTGATGATTGGTTCGCAGTAGAGCAGTGCACGGTCCCTAACCTCACTTTTTGGTTCCAATGATTTTGTCTCTGAGTAAAAGAGATGGCAACGAATGAGATCCAAAACAAACCACCCAAAACTGTCAAAATTTACGGATGAGAGAAGAGTGCAGCAAATCTTCGTGCATTGATCTGTTCCTTCCTTTTCCCGCAGGTGTAGAACTGTCAAAATGAGTGTGTGTTGGTGTTGTGCTGTTTGTGCACTGAATGAAAATGACACGTAAAAACGATTGATTTTCATATAAAATTGCGCTATTGGAAACTCTACACTGTAAAACGGTTTCTTTTGGACGGGAGAAAAAATAAATATCGATTTTTAACGATACAATGCTCAAACAATGAAAAATAATGTGATGAGATCAAATTTGTTCGAGAAAAATTAGTTTTTTTTTATTGCTAAGATGCTTAACAACCCCATTTTTTACTATTAATTTCTCATTTACCATAATTTTCATTGTTGTAAACCACACGGATAGAAATCTCCTTATACCTTTTGGCAAATTTCTATTGCTGATTATTCATAAAATGTATAAGTCAACTAATAAGCAGACGCCTTGCAAAAAGCTAATGAAGATCATGTGTCAAATGAAATGTATAAGCGGTCACACATACCTTTTATGCATTCTTATAGGACCTATGTAGTTTGTCTTATGGAATGTATAAGGCTGATGTTTGGCAAAAATGTATAAGTGAAACACATGGATAAAATAATTGATTTTCGTTTCGTGCATGAATTTCGTTGTGAGTACTGTTCTCCGAAATATGTGTCTTAAATTATGGTCATATGAAAGACATTTTTTTTCTGGATTTGTTTTCCATCGATCTTGTTTTCCGTGCTGAGCACCAATGCTACCGACGTCAGGGAGGCACTCCCACACCTGGACCCTACCTATCGACCCATCAACTCATGAATCGGGAACCAACGGCTTTACTTCCCTTCCGAAGGAAGGCGTGATCAGAGATGTTATGCCTCAGAACATCCCGGCGGCGCCCACTGGGATTGAACCCAGGCCTGCTGGGGTGAGAGGTAATCACGCCTACCACTACACCACCGGTGCCGCTATATGAAAAAACATTGACATATAACTTTCATTGGATTTTTCGAAGCTAGAGGGTATCGTATAAAATGTTATGGTTATTTTGCTTAACGACAAGTTCGGGGTATCATCCAAACCATTTTAGGAATAGTTCTATGATTTGGGTCACTCTTTCGTTTATGGTATTTTTATAAGGGTATCTTCATTGAACATCCAATGAAATTTAAAGGATTTCAGCAATGACAATTACGTGAAGTTTTGCTTCAGTGTGGTGCAGCCAAAATAATATTAGAAGATGGATTCTGCAGCAGTGTACTAAAAATCTCTGCACGGAGAAACGAAACAACTCAAAATTAAGTTTTTTGTACTCATCTTGACACCTAACTGCAACCAGACAAAATTGAGTTCTGGAGTCCTTTTTGATTGGGTCGTATGTAACAAATGTAAACAAATTGACATTTTAATGCTACCAGACACTACACTCAAAGATAAATTAAATCAAAAAAGCTTAAAAAGTATGCAGATTCCCGCTTCACCTTATTGAATTTCAAGCAAAATGGGAATAGTTCAATTTATCAGTGTACTCTGCTTACTCTTACTATAGGTAAAATTTGCTCCCGCTACCTCATTTCTGTTTCATTTTATCGTCAAAAAACTATTCACACTTAGTTTATTTCACCGAGGCCGGCAAAATAAATTGCCGAAATTCCAACAGTCGAAATTTCGTTAAAAATTTGGGTAAAAGTATAGAATACCGAACGCTTGGTAATTATCAGTTTTATTCGAATGTCAAATTTTACCGAGAACATCGGTATTTGTATACCGAGCGTTCAGCTTTTATTTTACCGAAATACCTCAAAACAAGAATAAATCTTTTACCAATCCTTCGGCAAACCGTTCAAGGAAAGATTTAGCGTTTGCCGACTGTCGTCGAAATTTCAACTCAAATTAAATTGATTATTCAGAATAGCATTAATAATAATAATACCAAATTAGTGGAAATTCTGTAAACAAGTTTTTATTCCATTTATTCGCGCAACAACACATTATTACTCACTCTTCGAGTGATCTAACAAATTTTTCACCAGTCGTAGAAATATTGTCTACAGAGAAAATAATTGCTCTGAAAAATATAAAAAACTGTTTATCACTCGGCGCACATGCCGTCCCGAATACGTCGAAAGCCTTGCAAAACACGCTGAATGCATATGGATGATGTTACCACCAAGCGGTATATTGATATTGTTCCATGAAATAAAGCATTCTCCCTCGGTCATGGGACTTCCTCTTACAATTATAACAGGAACTTTGTAGTCGATGGGTAGTGGGTTATCCAACTGAAATACAAAAAAGTAGAAGGGTCTGTGCCTAGGGGCACGAACGGAAGCTTGACGTAGGACCGCTAGTGGACGTAGAGTGTATTCAATTCACAGGATTTCCTTCCGAATTATATGAATGGGGCGGGGCGGAAAGTATCAATTGTGCAGCATATGTAAAAAAGGAGGAACTTCGAGAGATTGAACTCGTGAGAGCTAATTTTCTCTCAAATTTGATTTTATTGGCTTTCTGGAGACTGAATTTCCACCAAAGCGAATTATTCCCACTTCTCTTAAATTCTATATGGATTTTTAACACTTCCTACCAGCGTGTTCTGGAAAATGGTCGGACGATGATTACTCTTACCAATACATTCGGGCCTACAATTCCACACCTTCTATAGAGACCAGGTTGAGCCTTGATAGCTAGCTGCTTGCGGGAACTGATGACCTTGACCAATGTCCAAATAATACTCTTTAAAAAAAATTTGGTTGCCCTGAAAAGGACCGTTTTGTAGTGATGGTTGAGTAATTCTGAGCTGGGTGTTCAACACGGATGAGGCTGTCGAGCTGTATGTTGTTTGGAGCGAGAGTGACACGCTTGGCATAGATGACCGACCCGCAGCGACTCACGAAGAGGTACTGATTCCGAACCATAGCATAGCGGTGTAGCTTCTTCCTCCTTTGATGGTTGCTTATGTGGGTTCTGCAGCTCGCTGCTTGCAGGCAACCTTCCGTTGTTACTTGAGAACAATTTTCAACGCCACACGCCGAAAGCACTGCTACTGCTGCTACTGCTGCTATTAATTTCGACGACCGAACACCACCACACAGTGGTGTGGTCGTTGGGAGTGTGTGGTTCTGAGTATGGCGATGAGTGTGCAAAATATTACGCAATTCCATCCTCCCTATTCACACGCGCCCGAGGATCGGAGGCGAATGCCACTTCGATTTGTTCCGTCTACTTACTGTCGTGACCGGACCGAGGGTTCCAGCCTCGGCCACGGCAACACGAATTAGCGATGCAGCTCCCACGGGTGCGACTGCTTCTATTGCTGCTGCTGCTGCTGTTTATGCTGCTGCTGTTTCTGCTGCTGAGGTTTCTGTTGCTGCTGTTTCTGCTGCTGCAGGTGGTCTGTCACCTCCAAAATTCGTTACAAGAATGACTTCAAAGAGCTTAGGTACTTCATATGTATACCTGCTAACCTATCAAAATTCTCTAACCAATGAGATTCTGTTTACATACGAACTACCACGCTTCACGCTCACTTGATTCTACTCATTATTTATTCAATACTAACTCTATCTACTACACTTACTACTCTCTGACGACTGTGCCGGGGAAGCTGCATATGCATGTAGGTAATTGGTGGATTTGTTAGTTAATTCGACGCTTTTGGACAATGCTGCACATTTACCAGTTTTTCAATAGTTTCTTGTTGAAAATCAACATTTGAAAGCATTGTTGATGCGTAGCCATATATTTGATCGATTGGTGATAAAATTATTGAAATTGGACCAGGGGCAGCTGAGTTATTAACGTTCAAAATATTTCTTAATTTGTTACATGTTCCATTTTCGGTTTTCACAAAGTGTACCCCCATATAGAAATCAAAGACGTAGTCCTACGTCAAAAATAATCATTATAATTGAGAAACCAACTTATTTTAATTGAGTAGTCCCTTCAATGGGTTGTCCTTGGCAGAATCTTCGTCGCGCACACGTTTTGAGCCTCGAGTAGGGTTTTTAGCTCGGATAATAGCTAGCGCTCTCAAGAAATCTGTAGTACAAAATTATGTTAAATAAGATTTTATGAAAATTGGTACAATATTACCACAGACAAACAGACGTAACTCTTCATTGTGTATCTTCGTTCATGCATTTAACGGTTGATTTGAATATTATCATTTCCGCGAACTACTCGCCGCAGCGCTGGCATCGGATCACTTTGACGTTTCTATACATTCTATAGAACTTGTATGCAATATTGTTTACGAGTTAGCGAGCAAGCTTGTTTTCCGCGAGAAGCCAGAGAGATGTCGTTACTGAGGTTATATGTTTTGAGATACTATGTTTTCAAGAACAAGTTTTTCAAAGAGTTACGTCTGTTTGTCTGTGATATTACCCTCGACATAACCGTTAGATATTTCCCTGAACAAGTGTTGGTAGGTTTTAAGCACTTTTGCTTGCCAGACATTCCATTATTCTGCAAAATCCACGGTTTGGTTTCGCATTCTTTTGAAATCATATACAACCTATAACAAATATTGCTACTATTTATACTGACGTTTTAGTGCATTAAGTGGTCATACTTACTAATTCACCTTCGAATGCCGAACTAACGGGAAATTCTTCGAGAAAAGAGTGGATGTCATGATTTTCACGATACTGTGACCGATACTCGAATGTAGATGTCCATAACTGGTTAATCCTGCTTCTGTTTTTGGAAATCGGGACAATAAATTTAAGTTCTTCTACCTGAAACAATCTAAATTACCGAATTTTAATGGTTAATATTACTAATATTTTTTGTTTTCGAGCAGTGTAATACAGCAATCAAATCTACAAGTTCGAAAGTGAAAGGAGCATACAAGCTTTTTGTACACAAACCTTTGTAGGCTTTTTGCTCACCAACCGAAGGTTGCCCGAAAAAAAAATTACAGTGAAATTTTCAGTGGAAACAATGCTCTAACATTAATATTTATTGTCGACAATAAAAATGATTGTTATAATGTTGTACCCTTCCGAAAACGGCAAAACTGCTACCTAGCTGTACAATGAATGTACAAAATAAAATGTTGTTACAATGATTATTATTGTATTTTTCATTTATTTTATTGTTAACATGATTCGATCACGAACAATAATTAACAACTCAATTACAATAAAAATTATTGTTACATTAAATATTGGTGTGTTTTCATTGTGGGTTGCTTCACGAACAATAAAAATAAATCTGATTGAAGCATGCAGACTATGAGAGGGTTAGCAACACTGCCAATGTAATCAAGATAGGCGCTGCTCGTATGGCTCTTGCTTTGACAGTTCGTTTGGCTCTATTCGTTGCCAAGTCAATTGAACGGCTACGACCAGATCGGTTTGAGTTGAACTCAACTCTCCTGCCTCATCTAAATCCCGCTTAATGCAGACCTTTTCCGTGCAGTCAATAATCATACAATAATAATAAAAAAATCCACCACTTGAAGATGTCTGGAAATAACTCTCAGGTGGAAGCATATTTCATGGGCGATTCTCTCCAGTTGAATGCATTAACTTATCAACGACGCTCAACCACCAAGGAGACGTGAACTAGAGAGATCGAGTGCAGGGGAGTTGGCCTCCATTTCTCACAAGTTCTGGATCGAATCTCAATCCATAACCAGTAAAAAAAGGACTCACCCGTAACAGACATACCACCCCCTTCCCTTCCCGGGGCGATGTTTTATTTTTTCGATTTATTTTTAAAGTCGATAAAGTAGATCTGTCAAGCCAACACATACACTCTAAAGTACACTGTTATTTTTTTTAATCAATAAATTCGCCAACCAACAGTAAAATAACAATAATATATAATCACAGACAAACAGACATAACACATTGAATATTTCTCACTGTAAAACATCGTCGCTTAAACATTACCGCCATCTGTTGAATACACTGTGGTGGGTAGTACGCTGAAAAGATGGCGGTAGTGTGTAAACGTCAAACGCAAGGGAATTGACCATGCGCGCCACAGGTGGCGGTGCTACCAACTACGATACTTTTAAATCGACCGTTAAATGCTTGTTCGATGAACAACTTGCGAGAGTTATGTCTGTTTGTCTGTGATATAATGTTATTGAAAAAAAATATATATGGGGAAATCACGAAAATTTCATTGTTAAGATACTTAACAACCCCCCTTTTTTATTGTAAATTTTCCATTTACCATGAAATTTGCTGTTTTGTACAACATAAATCAAGGTAAATTTATTGTAGACGTAACAATATAAATCATTGTTAAGACAATAATTTGCGTCTTATTGTTACATTGTTTTTTATTGTATTTTTGTTGTTATTTTTTTTCGGGTGCCCACGTAAACCAACATCATCGTTTCGGGGAAAATTTTCTCTACCCGTCAATGAATGTGAATGAATTGGTCGCGTCGCGTCGCGAATCGCGTCTACCCTGGCCGAACCCTTACACACTTAAATTTTTTCGCCGAGATTCCAACAGCTGAGTAGTTCTGCAATTTATTTTGCTCATATTCAGTAAAAGAATTGCCGAGGCTCAGCTAATAAATAACATTTTGCTGAGATATCAGCTAACAAACAGATATTTTGCAGAGAAATCAGCAAAAGTAAATGCCGAGGTAATCGGCTGTTGGAGATTTTACCGAGCTAGATTAAGTGTGTAGAGCTTATTGAACGTTAGTCATGAGAAAGTCGAATCTCTCGTTCCGTTTTTGACTACAACAAAAAGTGAGAGTGGGATGCAAAACTCAAAATTACCCAAAATTAAGTAAAAAGAACATAAATTTAGGGTATTTTTTTTTCTCTGTGTGCATCTGTGCACGGAGAAAAAATACTACCCAAAATTTGAGTTCTTTTTACTTAATATTGACTTCAGCCTCTCACTTGCACTCGTTAATGTTGTCAAAAAAGAAACAAGAGATTCGACCCAACGATATAGTTCAGCCCAATAAGTTACTTTTGAGTAAAATGCATATTCTCAAATTTACGTGAATTAAACTTAATTTTGGGTAGAATATACTTGAGAGTAGGTAATTTTTTTTGCTGGTGTTAAATGGAAACTACTATATGCGATTTACTCAAATTTGGGTTATTGGGCTGAACCCCGGAATTGAGGGAAAAGTACTTAATTTTGAGTAGTTTTTCATCTCCGTGTGTGTGCATGTGTACTAAAAAAATACGAATCATTCTTTCTGTGTGCAAAACTCGAAAATGTCCTGACTTCTGCCCTGTGCAGTGCAAACGTCATTCTCGTGTCAAACCAAACGCCACCGATCGAGCAGTGCGAGGTTTCTCCTTTTTCTTTCGCGAGTTGAAAATCGTGTGTGCATCTCGTCATCATGTCCACGATAAATTTGCCTCTTAACTTGACCGTACGCGTCCATCCGGTCGTCCTTTTCCAGATTGTCGATGCCTACGAGCGCCGGAATGCCGATTCAGAGCGTGTCATCGGAACACTGCTGGGTAAGTAACAGAAAATGTAGATGCTTCGTGGCGGCCGGACATAACCCCTGCTTTCAGCATAGCAAAGAAAAGAGAATGACGCTAGTTCTGTGTACTGATGTGATTTTTATTTCGGGAAATTAATAGGTTCCGTGGATAAGGGTGTTGTCGAAGTGACGAACTGCTTCTGCGTTCCCCACAAGGAACATGCCGATCAGGTCGAAGCCGAACTCGGCTATGCGTCCGATCTGTACGATCTGAACCGGCGCGTCAATCCATCGGAGAACATTGTCGGTGAGTGCGGTGTTAATTTATCGGGGAATGTGGGGTTTGCTGGGATGTTGTTTTTATGTGCTTCTGTAATTTTATTTCAGGTTGGTGGGCCACCGGTCAGGAAGTAACCAACCACAGTTCGGTGATCCATGAGTACTATGCCCGTGAGTGCAACAATCCGATTCACTTGACTTTGGACACTTCGCTGACTGCGGCTCGTATGGGTATTAAGGCGTACGTTTGCGTGTCGTTGGGCGTTCCCGGTGGCAAAACGGGCTGCATGTTCACTCCGATCAATGTCGACATCGCTAGCTACGAACCGGAAGTAGTCGGATTGCAGCTGTGTTCAAAAACGATCGGCGTTCAGCAGAATCCCGCTAGGCCACGTACCGTGTCGCCGATGTTGGATCTGGCACAGATCACGGAAGCTTCCGGTAAGCTGCTAACGCTGCTGGGAGAAGTGCTAAACTACGTGGAGGATGTTTTGGCCGAAAAGCAGCAACCGGATAATTCCGTTGGACGTGCTCTACTGGATTTGATCCATTCTGTACCGAACATGACTTCGGACCAGTTCGCCCAGATGTTCAACTCGAACGTGAAGGATTTGTTGATGGTTGTTACCCTGTCTCAGCTTATTAAGACGCAATTGCAGTTGAATGAGAAATTGACCAGCTTAACTTCGTTTATCAACTAGAAAGTGTGTAAGAAGAATTGTAAGCTACAGGAACATTCGATAAGACATTAAGGTGTGAGGTGTTGAACCATTTGATCGCGCGTGTGCCGATACAGAGAAGAAAAGCGGTTCCGAATTTCCGACTGCACGGTTCAAGTCGATATCGGTTGAGTATTTCATTTGTTGCAACTAGAAGGAAAATTAAACAATATAGAGACAACCGCAATAATGTTACTGGTGCGTTTCCTACAAAGAAATTCCCTTTAAATTACCCTCTCGGTTTATCGCATGCATGTGGTATTTAATTTAAAGACAAGACAGGTAAGTACAATTAAATGCTGCACATAGGTACTACTTATTACAATCGGGTTCACATATACTATTGGTTCGCATTACCACTGATCTGGCAACACTAGTGTGCAGCTTGCCAATGAGGTGAAGATCCAGATCAGCTCTGGGACCTGGTAGTAATCAAACTACCACAAGGTTTTGCCAATGACCAGGGTATTTCGTTCAAAGCTAATTATAGGTAGCCTTATTTCTGTTTTTGAACGATTTTTCCTGTTTTTCGATTCATTTAAAAACAGGAATAAGGGTGATGTTTGGTGTTAAAAGTTTGCTCAAACATCCGGGCCTTGAGAATATTTTTCTAACTTTCAGAGTCACAGTCAAGATCTGATAAAATGTTCCAAGTCAGGGATTCTAATAGGTAACTATGGAACAAGAACGAAGAATTTGAAATCCATGATGTCATATGGTTGTAGATATCCTACAAAATTGATATCTACAAAACGGCAGCGTTGAGCAGCACAATTAACTGTTATTATAAAATCATTATTCCTATTTTTTTGTTTTCAGTATTTTGCGCTCGGTAAAGGCTGGGTTACAGCTTGGAAAATGTGCCACGGGATTTGGGTCATGGTCCACGCCATATACCAAAATGTTCGTCCTTTGGGGCCAGAAAATCACGTGTTTACTTATAGAAGCATATGTTTTATTGGAAAAAGTTCATTGTTTGATAGGGTAAATTTCGGCTTCGGCACCCATTGACTGTTTTCGGCAATCAAAATTTAAACGTTAATTTCACTATGTTTTACCATCAACACACTTCCCTGAATGTATCCAAATGATTATTTAGTCTTTCAGCTTCAATCTGATTATATTTGTAGGACCGAGCAATCCTTTTATGCCAGATTTTTCTTCAAATGAAGCTTACGTAATACAAAATGGGGCTGATTTCGAGTTGCCGATAATAGAACAGCTGGTTAACACGCAGTTCTAATGGGAAGGTTGCCGAAGAAAAAGAGGCTGCCGACAATAGTCACACTCACCTGAGAAGTTTAGAGCGTTGTAAAAACGCTTTCAAACAGTTTTGAAGAATTCTGTCGATTGGAATGGATAGAGAAGCAAGCAGCAGATGAATTGAAACAAACAGACACGTCATATATGTGCGTGACGCTGTGAAAATGCTAATAGAAGTGCGGACGCTGCTTAGATTGACGAGAATACGTAAATTCCCCTATAGAATCTGTGTATAAGAGTGACGTCAAGTGAAAAACAGTGGAACTCGCACCACGGTTAGATTCCCTTCCCTTTCACTTGGCAACAGAGGACTACTAACTTCAAATTATTTCTAGCGAGAAAACAAATTCTCAATATTGATCATTACCAATCGTATGGTTAACTACCTCATTTCCGGCCTATTAAGCATAACCGGCACTTAGTCTTTCTTAATCTAGCGCAGTTTAGCACCAAACGGAGTGTTATTATTACTGATGGTTTCCAAATTTATTTACCTTTCCGTACGTACCGTAAGATTTGATAAAGAGAAACCAATCGTTGAGATATTGTCAAAAGTCTAACACTCGGCCTAACGCATTGAAACGCCAATGAATTCACTTCGGCCTATCGGATGAAGATAAAAATTGATTCGGTCGGAGCGCTTCTTTTGTTTTTGGGAATACTGAGTGCAAACCTTCATATCACGCGTTCTCATTCTTATTCGTTCGGTAGCTTATTAACTGAAGTATCGTACCAAACGCATAATTGACTTGTTAATTCTGAAATCATGGATATATTTGAAGTTTTCTGCTCGATAGGCCCAAAATGGGCGATTAGGCCGAAGTAGTCTCTACCCTATCCAGTGGCAATTCAACAAAATAAGAGTATCGAAATTGAATTACTACGGCCATATTCTCAGGAGTGATCCAGGTGGAATCTTGAATACGACACTGGATTGGAAAACTTGTATGTATTGGTCAAGACGTATAAAGGAGCAAAATCCCTGTTAGAGTTTGGGAGGATGTAGCACAAGAAAGGAGCAGGATTAAGCAGATATTTAAAAATATATATAGTAGCATGGTTGAGTTCGAATTTGAGACTAGCAGCAATTCTGACTGGGATAGTAAAAGTGAAGATCTAGTTCCATCATTCCGGATTCAGTGAAGAGGAGGAGCCGATTCTGGTGATGAATTTTGCCCAGAGCAACATAAATAACAACACTAATACTCATGAAACAACCTCAGTCAATCGGCGACTCAACAGCCCCAATCAACCGATGACTTAGCAACCCCAGGCACACGTAAGACCAGAAATGCATGAGTAAGCTGACACAACTTTCTATATTACCATGCCATCCCAATGGATCCCTACTCAAACGTGCTAGCAGTGGCTTTTTAACCGTCTGGCGTGAGTAGTGCATTCATTGGTTCAGATGCAGGCTCAGACATCTGAGCCTCAACAGGTTGCAACCAGTTGAAAAAAAAGAAACAGTCATGTTCAATTAACCATTTTACCATGCGTCTACGTTAATTTTCCTTCAGATGTCACTGCTGTGACATGTATAGGAAATTACGCATACACTTAGTTCCGTTAGTTATTAAAATAGGGCTGTGCGGTCAAAACATGTAAGGTACATCTATATATACAGTTAGATTAATATGCGAGACTCTAATTTCTTAGATATTCGACGAAAATAGTGCTTGCCAAGCTCCGCCGCTGGATGGGAAATCTAACTGCATAAATAAGGGTTCCAACATTGTATCAGATCTAGGTACTATATTTTGTAGTCTGTGAAAGGAAAATCAAAGCGGCACCGGTGGTGTAGTGGTAAGCGTGATTACCTCTCACCTTAAAAGGCTTGGGGTCAATCCCAGTCGGCGCTGCCGGGATTTTCTGAGGCATAAAATCTCTGATCACGCCTTCCTTCGGAAGGAAAGTAAAGCCGTTGGTCCCCGGTTCATGAGTTGATGAGTCAATGTAAAATTCCACATGATTTTCATGTTCATTAATTTATTTGATAAGGTTCAACCGAATTATCTTTACAAAGCCGAGGATTCTTGTTCACTATACAATGGGCCTTATTACGGGTGTCACTACACGGTGATAAGGAAGTGATACTCATAATAAGAGCCGTGATTCAGTTGAAGATTAGATCTCATTGCCGATAGACGTTTGTTCGATCGCTGCGTTGTTTTTTTTCGGTTGCTTTTGATAGCTATACAGTACGGTGAAATGTCGAGTGTAGTAGCCGTCACGAATACCATTGCTTTCATATTTCCGAATAATGCTGCCCAGCCAACTCTACCGGAGATGGTCCGCTTCGTGAAAGGCCTCACCGGTGATCAGGGAAAAATGGACACGGCGTATAAGAATGCTGAGGAGAGGACGGTATTCATTAAATACAAGTCCGACGAAGGCATGAGGGAAGCCCTCTCTTGTAACGATGAAAGGCAAACGTTCCATTATTCTAATGGAACACAAGTGGAGGTTTGCATGTCGGTAGCGGGTTGTAACATCCAATACGTACGGGTGTTTGACCTACCGCCGGAGGTATCCGATCGTGATCTTGTTGCTGAACTAATCAAATTTGGGAAGATTAAGCGCTGTGTGCGGGAAAAGTATCCACCCGGATATCAACTGGATTTGTTCACTGGTGTCCGCGGAATTTACATGGATGTGGAGAAAGAAATTCCACCAGCGCTCTACTTCCTTAGCAGAAGAGGAAGAATTGTCTACAGTGGAAATAAATTGAAATGCTTTGCTTGTGGACAAGAGGGACATCAAAAAAAGTCTTGCGGAAGGAGGAACGTAAAAATAACAAGAGACACAGGAGCAGGTGTCGAAAGAAGCAGGCAATAGATTTGGAAATAGAGATGCTAGAGGAGGAAGAAAAAGAAGAAGAAATCGGTACAACACTGGAAGCTGAATTGGATCACGGAAAACAGCAGAACAATCAACACAACCAGCAGCAGCAGAAGCAACCGGTATTACACTACCAACCGCAAAAGCAGCAGAAGATTGGAAACTGGACTGAGCACGTTCAACTGCATACAAAGCTGCTGAAGCAACAGCAGAAACAACAGAAGTATGCCAATGATAGTTCACCGCCCAGGAAGACCTTACGTCCCAGCTCTTCACGTTCGGGCACCGGATCAGATTAGTTTTAATAATTCAAATGAATTGTAATTATTCATTCACCGTGACGACAAGTGACAAGTTTTCACCGTGAAGTGACCAGGCATGGAAAATCATTTGCATTCATTTCGTGCATTCATTTACATTCATTTGTCCCTAACTTTTTTCATTAACAAAATTCCACATAATGATGTATTGAGTTTTTGTAGGCTTTGTTATAAGCTACAACTTTTGTTAACAACTCAAATCCGTATCTCTTATGCATGACAAACCAGAGCGAACAGAAGCCACTACTGTTTTTCAGTGAATGTATTTTACATTCACTGAAAAACAGTAACCAGTTCTGCTCGTTCTAGTTCGTGATGCATAAGAGATACAGATTTGAGTTATGACCAAAACTTGTAGCTAATAACAAAACCTACAAAAGCTCTTTACATCATTTCGCGGAATGCTGTTGATGAAAAAAGTTAGAGGCAAATGAATGTAAATGATTTTCCATGCCTGGAAGTGACCGAAAGAACTGCTGATGAAGAACAATGAGGAGGACCACACAATGGTTGCTACCGAGTAAACAGACGATCGCGTGACACATATTGAGAGTGGTCTGCTTCTTGTTTTTGGGTAATTTTATTTCTGTGACCAATAATGTGACATTGAGGCCTACTATTATTTTAATGGTTTAACAAATTTGATTATATTTATGACAACGATTGGAACCTCGATTGTGGGAGCCTTAAAAGCTTTTGTGATTTTGAACAAGCAATGATCGTTCGTTCATGCTTTTTGTAATGAAATCACATAACGTCCAGATTT